CCGTAGTCGCTCGCTGTGCTTGCCGCGCACTCGCCCTTGCTTAGGGTGCGTCGTTTAGCTCACCCGGGTCGACACGGGTTAAAGGCAGACGGGTCAGCCACACAGCCGGGCTGGCTATCGCTAATCGAACAACCGCTGGTCATTACGATCCTCACGTGACGTCCTTAGCCGTGGCCGTAGCCACTGAGAAAGCGCCCGTTTCGGATTGGGTCTTATTTTGAGATTTACTGCTTTTGCAAAACTCAAAAACGTTGGGCTGAAATTATAGCCTCAAAAGTCAAAATGATTATCGTCAGACCCCTAAAAGCTGCGCGCTCCTATTTCTGCGCACTCGCCTTTAAGTTATTTTTGCAAGGTATGCATCCTAACAAAATATATATACTTTTCACTGGTATCGTTGATGCACGAACTTTAACCAGCAGCCGAAAAAATGTGGAAATTGATGGCTTTCTCTGGAATTCAGGCAAAATATGAAAACAATCTGCTTTTGACAGCTAACTACAAATGCAGGCATGCAGATGCTTCCGGGCCTGCAGAACTTGAAGTCGAAAATATGACCGTACGGTGACTTTTATTGGTCTACCACTGTCGTCAGTATTATAGTTAAGATGTCATAGATAAGACTTTGCACAGGTTTTACAGGGGTGTATAAAACTTACAGTGCAACCAAAAAGACACTTCTTATATTATTTTGGATTTTTTGGTCAAAACTTTTAAAATCTGACATCTTGAAAATTGTCTCTGTTGATTGGGATGATCAGAATAACAATATTATTGGGATCTACATTATTTTAATAGATGAATATTAAAAAAATTATTTATGTAAATATGTAAATAAAGACCTTTGTAATTATTCAACCATTAGGATATTGACATTTAATCTTGAAATTATGAACGTGTATTGGCATTGGAAAAAAAGAAAGGAAAAAGAAAGAAAATATGTTTGAAAAGCTCTAAGTTGTTTAAAAAAATGTTTATATCGAGTTACATGGTCCAGACAGCACAGATTTTGGATGAAGCATCCAAAACTGCATGCTTTGGAATTCCCTGGTTGTCGCCACAAATGAGATTTCGCTTTGTTAATCGGTATGGTGGATGATTGTAAGCCAACAATGTAAGTTTCGTTGAGGCGGAAAAGAGTGGTTGCTTTGCTACCTTTATACCTGGTTGCAAAGCCTAGTGCGCAGAAATAGGAGGATCGTCCAGAATACCTTTAGACTTGAAGTCAACTTTTAAGTCCACTTGAGATTTCTGCTGTCCGGCCGCCATTGTCCGTTTCTAGGGAATGAACACATGCGTGACGTACTGCCACCAGTGAGACTCTGCTCCACGGGCAGGGTCTGTGGCTGACCCGGGTCTGTGGCTGGTACGTCAGACGGCGCTATAGGATCTTTGGTCAGAGCTAATCGAACGGCAGGGGTGCTGACCCGGTGTCAAACCGGGTGAGCTAAACGAACGCACGTGTACGTAAACTGCATGCAGCTGCATGCCACGTTTAAAAAAAAAAAAATAGGCGCTCGCTTCAAGTTTTATCAAGCAGACTCGTTCCCAGTCCCTCAAGTTCTGGAGTAGAGAAGCAGCAATCATAAACAGATGATGGCCACTTTTCGGCTGCCTAAAAAACAATCGACTTTTTTCAGCTACGTGAAAGCATAGAATGGAAACTTCGAAAACGTTCGATCTGATTTTCTGCTCAACAGTAGCAGATGGGGGAGCCTTTAGTCAAGGCCACGCGGCTACCCGGGCACGTGCCGCACCCTTAATGCCGGTGTCATATATGAAATCAGGCTCGTATGAAAATCGGACTCTTTTTCCCTTTTATTGGTAAACCTGTTGGGTCAGAATGTTTCGTTTGTGTAATATGCTAATTAGGTTAACTTGTTGTGTATCTGTATTCTTCGTCAAGAGAGGGCGCTATTGCACACCACCCTAAACAAGTCAGTTGGGTTAAAACGTTTAGATAACGTCAAACTTTTCATGTCAACGTCACTTTTCGTCACGCAATTTGTTGTTTTGGACAGCCCAAAGTCGTAAGTTTAATAATTTCTAAATCCTTTTATATGATTGTAAGACATATATAGAACATGGCCATCTAGATATTTGTGGGATAAAAGTAATATTTCTGGGTTAATTTATTGGGGAAACTTTGTGTAAAAGTGTCATGTAAAAATGTGTGCATATAGACTTTAATATACAACATTACATGGGATTCGCACATGTCTACAGCTAATTTACCACTAACTGGACATTTGTAATATTGTTTTTGTGTATCAATCCTGATTTGTATTTGTTATTCTTTGTTTTGTTTATGTAGATTAAACCGTGTTACGTGTTACGTGCTTCATGCTTCATGTTTCGTGTCTACGTGATTAAAGATGCGAGTATACTGTTGCTGATACATGATTGTGTACTAGTCATTCGTCATTAAGTCAAGTTCACTGGAACTTTTAAGTGCCATCCTTTACATGAGTTTAATGACTGGGCTTTATAAGATTTGGACATTGTCATGAGTACTACTGAGACAGGAACGTCACGTCACGGTGAAAGCCGTTCAGCATCGGAGCATGGGGCCACATCAGACACCGGTGGACATGATGACCTCATTCGTCCACAAGATTCTGTGAGTCAATGCAGGTCAAAGGTCAGCAGGACATCAACATCAGTGACCGGTGCCAGAGTGAAAGCAGCTGCCAGAAAGGTTGCTTTAGAAGCAGAAGCGGCCATGTTGCATCAGCTGCAAGCCCTTGAAGACGAAGAGTTAAAGCTTCATCAAAGAAAGAGACACTTGGCCCTGCAAACAAAGTTGGCTATGGCAGAAGCGGAGGAGGCTGTGTATGCACTTAACGACAGCAATGAACATTGCGATACCTTCTCAGTACACGCATCAAACAACAGTGAAGTGCAGATTGCGACACCCCCACAGAGTACACCTGAAGTAGTGGATACATCTCCAGCATGTCAAACCACGAAGTTGGAGTTCGACGGAATGAAGGAACCAGATACGAAGCCAGAGGCTGAGACGACAGTGGATCCAAACAAGACATCAGAACCGGACAAGACAGTGGATCCAGTCAAGACAGCAGAACCTGACAGCGCGCACAAGAACAGTGAAACAACGGTTCTTGAGCTGGTGCAGCAGGGTCAAAAGCAGCAACAACGGCTGCTTGAGGTGATACAGCTGCCGAAAGCAGAACTTTTGACATACGATGGAGATCCCTTGCAGTATTGGGCATTCATAAGATCCTTTGAGAACAGTGTGGACAACTCCAATTTGGAGGACAGTGCTAAGTTGATTCGGTTGTTACAGTACTGTACTGGTAAGGCAAAGAAAGTGATACAGTGTTGTTCTGTGATGCAGCCACTTGAAGGGTATAAGAGGGCTAAGGCCTTGCTTAAGGAAAGGTTTGGTAACAATTACACGATTGCTGAAGCTTGGGTGAACAAGCTAACTGAGGGTAGTAGTATTAGCCCACATGACAAGAAAGCACTAAGAGAGTATGCAGATGATCTGAAAACCTGTAGGGAGACCCTTAATGCCATGGGTTACATTCAGGAAGTAAATACTCAGACAGTGTTGGTTACTTTGATTGAGAAACTGCCAAGTTACCTCCGTAACCGATGGATCAAGCAGGTTAGGGTAAATAGAAAGAAAAACGACAGGTCCCCAAATAGGGGATTTAGTAGATTTGTAGAAGACGCAGCCTGAAGAAGCTAACGAGTATATGTGCATGGTGTAAGCCAAAGGACAGATATGTTGTAACAAACAAGAATGTTCCGAAGTCCTCTGTAAGTCGTTATAGCAAAGGTAGTTACACCATGATGACAAATGCCAAACCTGGTAACATGACATGTGTATTGTGTAACGGTAGTCACACCTTGTTTGGGTGTACAGAGTTTAAGAGTAAGAAACAGAAGACAGATTTGAATTTGCTAGGGCAACAAAACTGTGCTATAACTGTTTGAGACCTGGGCATATGTCAAATTCATGTACCTTAAACCGAGTTTGCTCTGTTGCAGGGTGTGGAAAAAAGCATACTAAATTCTTGCACCGGATTAAAACCATCCCCGTAGGTCAGTTTACCCCAAGAACTGAGGTCACGACGGCACCAGCAGAACCAGCGGCATCAGTGCAAAGTGGTTTCACCGACACAGAGGTTGACACGAGCTGTAATGTCACAGGGGTCGGCGTGATGGGAGTTGCGTTGCCCATTGTTCCAGTCAAGGTCAAGGCCAAGGGTAGTGGTGTTTGCATCGACACATATGCGCTCTTGGACAGTGGGTCCACGAGCACCTTCTGCACAGAAGAGTTGGCGAAGCGACTGAAACTCTGCGGTCAACAGCAGCAATTGTCTCTCACAACGTTGGCAGGGGCAAACGTGCAAACAGCGACAACTGTCATCAGTTTGACAGTTAGCGGTATCGACTGCAAACAACCAGTTGAACTTCCGTTGGTGTATACAAGACGTGAGCTCCCTATCCATGATGCCAACCTGGCCAAGCAAGAGGACATTGAAAAATGGCCTCACTTGCAAGGTCTCAAGCTGCCACAGGTTGACAAAGGTCGAGTACAGCTTTTTGATTGGGCAAGATGTTCCAGAAGCACTGATGCCATTAGAAGTCAAGAAGGGTGAGAGGAATGCCCCATATGCGACAAGAACAGAGCTCGGATGGTCGCTGAATGGACCACTGGGAATGGCGAACAAGCACACAGCCACATCCAACTTCATTGCCGCCGACGACAGTTTAGAGAGACAACTTAAGATGTTCTGGAAGTTGGACACGACTGATTCCATTCATGATGACACCAAGGGGATGTCGGTGAAGGACAAGCAGGCTATTGCGATATGGGAAGAAAGTGTTCGTCTCACAGATGGGCACTACGAGTTGGCTATCCCATTTAAGAATTATCCTCCGCACTTGGTTGATAATCGCACTGTTGCGGAACGACGTCTTTTTTCGTTGGGCAAGCGGCTACAGAGAGACACACTACTGCACGCTAAGTACACTGAAGGCATGCAGGATCTCATCAACAACGGTTATGGAGAAAGTGTTCCAGAAGAGGAAGTTCATCCCTCAAACAGCACCGTGTGGTATCTCCCACATCACCTGGTGTACCATCCGAAGAAGCCTGACAAGGTTCGCATAGTATTCGACTGTGCGTCTAAGCATGTTGGAACATCACTCAACGACGAGGTGCTAAGTGGACCAGATTTGACCAACAAGCTGTTGGGGGTACTCTTGAGGTTTCGGCAAGAGACAGTGGCACTTATGGCTGATGTCCAAGCCATGTTCCATCAGGTCAAAGTCACTCATGAAGAGCGAGATGTCTTGAGATATCTGTGGTGGTCTGATGGTGACAGCTCTCGACAGCCGAGTGTGTATAGGATGACTGTACACCCCTTCGGTGGTACATGGAGTCCAAGCTGTTGCACCTTCGCTCTGCAACGTACCGCTGAAGATAATCGAGCAGACTTCCAACCTGACACAGTTGACACAGTCATGCGTAATTTTTATGTAGATGACTGTTTGAAATCTGTCGCCAGTGAAGAGAAAGGAATTCAGCTGGCACAGGAACTCCGTAGTCTTCTTGCTAGAGGAGGTTTTAGGTTGACAAAGTGGGTAAGCAGCAACCCACAAGTTCTTGCATCCATCCCCATCGAAGAGAGAGTGAAGGATGTCAAGGAGCTCGATCTGAACTACGAGGCATTACCGACCGAGAGCGCTCTCGGAATGCAGTGGGATGTTGAACTGGACTGTTTTGGCTATAAAATCAGTCCCAGCGACAAGCCATTGACAAGAAGAGGAATACTTAGTGTCTGCAGTTCTATCTATGATCCACATGGGTTTGTGAGTCCGTTCACTCTGAGGGCCAAGGTTTCATACAGGATCTATGCCGAAGAAAGCTGGGCTGGGATGAGTCACTTCCATCAGAGCACCTCAACAGTTGGCAACAGTAGAAACAAGAACTACCCGAGATAGAACAGTTTAGGGTGAATAGGAGTATCAAGCCCTATGGTTTTGGAGAGGTAGTCAAATACCAACTGCACCATTTCTCGGATGCATCAGAAGTAGCTTACGGAGCGACAACTTATTTGCATATGACAAACTCGGAAGGCGACAAGCGGTCTTGCCTTCTTTTGGCCAAGTCTCATCTAGCCCCCCTGAAAAAGATGACTATACCAAGGTTGGAATTGATGGGTGCCACACTCTCCATCAAACTTGATGCGATGGTTCGTAGAGAGTTAGATGTGTCATTAGAGGATTCAGTATTTTGGACAGACAGCACCATAGTACTGCAGTATGTGAAGAATGAGGAGCGACGGTTTCTCACATTCGTGGCAAATAGAGTTGCAGTTATCCATAGCGGGTCATCACCCAGTCAATGGCATCATGTTGTGTCTAGGCTTAATCCAGCCGATGATGTTTCAAGAGGACAAACAGCTGAGGAGCTGCTTACTAACAAGCGATGGCTCTATGGACCCGACTTCCTTTGCCTGGAAGATAGTGAATGGCCAAAATCGCCAAGCCTGAGAGATCTACCAGATGAAGATCCAGAGATAAAGCCAGACAAGGAGGTGGTTACTGTATGTGCTGTAAACAAGATGGAACAGGTCGATGTGGTAGACAGGTTGTTGAAGAGGCATTCCTCATGGCATAGATTGAAGAAGAATGTGGCGTGGTTGCTGCAGGTAAAAAACTACTTGCGAGCCAAGGCAAGGAAGCAACCGACAGTAGACATGCAGAAGCTACTGGCCGTAGATGAGATGACGAGAGCAGAGGATGCTATCATTTTGTATATCCAGAGAGAGTCCTTTTGTAAAGAGTTGAAGTTCCTCCAGAAGGACAAGGTAGACTCCAGAAGGTCAAAGGACTACATCAAGAAGACAAGTCCTTTATACAAGCTTGACCCAGTGTTGTCCGCTGATGGTATCATAAGGATTGGTGGTCGTCTGAAGAACGCTCCAGTAGACGAGGGAGTGAAACGTCCGGCCGTGTTGCCTAAAGATCACCATGTAGTCACTCTGATTGTCAGACAATTCCATCAAGAATCGGGACACTCTGGAAGAGAGCACGTACTTTCCCTATTGCGTCAAAGATATTGGTTGATCAAGGCCAGGTCTACAGTCCGCAGTATTTTGCGTGATTGTTTTGGGTGTAGACGTCAATCAGCCACACCAGTCGAGCAAAAGATGGCAGATCTGCCATCTGACAGGGTCACGCCAAACAAGCCACCATTCAGTTTTGTTGGAGTGGATTGTTTTGGTCCGTTCATGGTTAAACCAGGTCGAAGCTTGGTCAAACGCTATGGGTGTATCTTTACCTGTCTAGTTGTTCGAGCCGTTCATATTGAAGTCCTACATACCATGGAAGCGGATTCTTTCATCAACACGTTACAACGGTTCATGTGTCGACGTGGAGAGCCGGAAGAGATCAGGTCCGATAACTGGTCCAACTTTGTGGGCGCCGAGAGAGAGCTTAGAGAAGCTACACAGTCCCTAGATCAGCAGAAGGTCAATGAGTTCCTCCTTCAGAAAGGGGTGAAGTGAAAATTTAATCCCCCTACGGCATCGCATATGGGCGGAGTCTGGAAAAGGCAGATTAGGACCACGCGAAAGCTGATGAATTCTCTCATGAAAGAGCAAACCATGTACGACGAGAGTTTGTCTACACTTATGTGTCTGGTTGAGTCTATCATTGGAAGGCCGATAACTACAGTGTCAGATGATGTGAATGACCTAGAGCCGCTAACTCCCAATCACTTACTTCTGCTTCGTGCAGGGCATGTCCTGCCACCTGGGGTATTCGACAAAAAAGATATGTATGGAAAGAGGAGATGGAGGCAGGTACAATATTGGCCTATCTTTTTTGGAGAAGATGGATTCGGGAGTACCTTCCTATGCTGCAAGAAAGACAGAAATGGTTTGAGCCAAAGAGGAATATCCAGGTTGGAGACTTGGTGCTTGTCGTTGATAGTGACTTGCCAAGAAGTAAATGGCTTCTAGGACGAGTTGTTGAAACACATCAGGGAGGGGACCAGCTAGTCAGATCAGCCAAGGTGAAGACAATGTCATCTACCTTGATGAGACCAGTCCAGAAACTTTGTCTTCTGGAAACAGTAGAAAGATCTGAAACATAAATTGGTTGTTGGCCTCTACAAGTGTTTTTTTGTTTTATATTGTGTTTTCCAGTACATGTAGTTCCAAAGGTTAGAGTGTGTAGTACAAATAGCTGATGATTCATATGATTAGATCCAGAAGCTTTTCTTTTGTGTGTGTATAACTTGTGTTATGATGTATAATTGAAAACCCTAAACCACCAGTGGAAGTCAACTTAAAGGGGCACTCACATTCTCCCTTATTTTTTGTATGATTTAGGTAAATGCCATTTTGGGGTTGGTTGTGACATTTAAGGGGTCGGGATGTTGGGTCAGAATGTTTCGTTTGTGTAATATGCTAATTAGGTTAACTTTTTGTGTATCTGTATTCTTCGTCAAGAGAGGGCGCTATTGCACACCACCCTGAAACAAGTCAGTTGGGTTAAAACGTTTAGATAACGTCAAACTTTTCATGTCAACGTCACTTTTCGTCACGCAATTTGTTGTTTTGGACAGCCCAAAGTCGTTAGTTTAATAATTTCTAAATCCTTATATGATTGTAAGACATATATAGAACATGGCCATCTAGATATTTGTGGGATAAAAGTAATATTTCTGGGTTAATTTATTGGGGAAACTTTGTGTAAAAGTGTCATGTAAAAATAAGTGCATATAGACTTTAATATACAACATTACATGGGATTCGCACATGTCTACAGCTAATTTACCACTAACTGGACATTTGTAATATTGTTTTTGTGTATCAATCCTGATTTGTATTTGTTATTCTTTGTTTTGTTTATGTAGATTAAACCGTGTTACGTGTTACGTGCTTCATGCTTCATGTTTCGTGTCTACGTGATTAAAGATGCGAGTATACTGTTGCTGATACATGATTGTGTACTAGTCATTCGTCATTAAGTCAAGTTCACTGGAACTTTTAAGTGCCATCTTTTACAAAACCCTCTCACGTGACCGGTCCCTCTCCTAATTATCTATGCATAAGCATGCGCAATATCACCAATGAGTCCGTATTTCATAAAACTAAATTGGTTCTTTACAGAAACGACACTTCCCCGAATAACTTATTTTTGTTTGCATTTTCTTTTCATTGTTAATAACATTCCCATTTCAGATCTTCCACACCACACAAAAAAAGCTTATCAAAGGGTCCATGAGATTAGTTTTTTCTTAGGAACACATTTTTGTCACTTTCCACTCCTCTTAAATATGTGAAAACTATTTGACATCCCTTTTTGTTTCGCCTGAACTTTGAAAGAGACTATGCAATCACTTTGTCTTTCCGTATAAATGTAGTATGTATGTTTGTATGTATGTAGTATGAATTTGTGTGTATATCTGTGGTATTTTGGTTAAAGTTTCGTAACATTGGCCTTATTTCCACAGTTGAAGTCCAACTGAAACCATACTGGAATCATAGATGCAACATGGAAACCTGCATATGATAATGATGTCAAAGGTCACATACCAAGGTCAAAGGTCAACTGAGGTCAAGTTGTAAAATAGGCTGAATATGTAAAATGGGTCTCATTGATGACAAATTGAAGACCAAGAGGAACCAAACTTGGGTAGTTTATGCAACATGCCAACCTTCATATGATAATGATGTCAAAGGTCACATACCAAGGTCAAATGTCATCTGAGGTCAAGTTGTAAAATAGGCTGGAACCAAACTCATTGCAACCTTCATACTGATAAGTCACTTTATAAAGATAATCGTAAAAGCAGGCGAGACGCATGGTTCGAGAACCATGCATCTTGTTGGTTAATTTAATTCAGAGGTGCACTTCTTTAAACATTTAAGAATGTGCCATGCTTTTCCGGACATTTGGGGGTGATATTTACGGAGCTCTGGAAGTGGCATCTGACTTGTTCATATACTGACTTATTTTATCTCAGGATTACGACAAAATACAGGCAAGATGACGACATCCTGAGATAATTTGTTAGGGGATGACGACATCCTCAAAGTAGGATGACGACATCTCGTCATAATTTAATATGGCATGACGACATCCTGAAAATAGGATGACGACATCTTAAGACAATCTCTTCTGGCACGATGACATCCTGAGATAGTTTATTAGGGGATGACGACATCCTGAAAATAGGATGACGACATCCTGAAAATAGGATGACGACATCCCGAGATAATTTATTAGGATGTGACGACATCCTGAAAGTAGGATGAGGACATCCTGAGATATCACGAGGTGCATTGAATCCATCTTGGAAGCGCACATGACCTCTCATCATCAAATAAATACCATGAATATACAGCGATATGATAAATGTTATACAAGCCGCATGTCCACCTGTGCGTTTTCAAGATGGCTTCAATGCACCTCGTGATAAATTATGTCGTGATGTCGTCATCCTGCTTCCAGTTTAGCGTCATCCCATAACAAATTATCTCAGGATGTCGTCATCCTACTTTCAGAATGTCGTCATCCCATAACAAATTATCTCAGGATGTCGTCATCCTACTTTCAGAATGTCGTCATCCCATAACAAATTATCTCAGGATGTCGTCATCCTACTTTCAGGATGTCGTCATGCCATAATAAATTATATCAGGATGGCGTCATCCTATTTTCAGGATGTCGTCATCCCCTGATAAACTATCTCAGGATGTCGTCTTCCTCATTTTAGGATGTCGTCATCCCCTAATAATTTATCTCAGGATGTCGTCATCCTATTTTCAGGATGTCGTCGTCCAATAATAAATTATCTCTAGATGTCGTCATCCTACTTTCAGGATGTCGCCATCCCCTAATAAATCATCTCAGGATGTCGTCTTCTTGCCTGTATTATGTCGTCATCCTGAGATAAAATAAGTCAGTATCTGATGAAGTCGGATGGCACTTGCAGAGCTCCGTAGATATTGCTGTGATGTCATTTCAGAAAGACACTATTCAGTTTAGGTTTTTTGTTCAAATGTGAACCAAACAATATCACTAAAATTACTGCCATGATCACCGCAGAAAATAACATTTACAACAGCAAGATATCCAGCATTCTGTAAACTTTTTTGTGCTGAAATAGCTGAAACATAGAGATGTATTGCCTGATTTGACATCACACTTTTGCTAATGAATATGGAAATTGTCATTAGCATTAATACCAAGAAGGCACAAAATACCCTTAAAATGGCAAAACGAAAATTGAAAATAAGGTTATATGGGACAAAAAAGGTGCATTTCAAGGATTGCATTAAAACAAAATGACATTGCATGAGCCCTTTAAATCTTACTTTGAATGATTTTTGTCCGTGAAAACAAGATAGCCTTTTGCGAGTTCAAATGCAGACAATAACACGTACGATCCTCAAACTGTGGTGATATGACAAATTTCGTTAAAATGGTACTGTGGGTGACCAGCACGCTCTGTGGTGAGCAAACCTGTAAAGGTAATTGTGCGATTAAAGCCAACCTGAATCCGTTGCCTGTCGAGTATCAGATTATGTCACTACACCATGGTTGCAGGGTATCTTGTTAAAATTATAGAAAAATTGTTATGTGATAACTATAGTAAATATAAGTAGACAAGCAAACCTCGTGTCCTTTTTCACCGACTATCCTATGTTACACCTGTCACTAACCATGAGAACAATGGACGATCAAAAGACATAAAGGAGATACCGCCCTCCTAGGTAAAGTTGTTCACAATTATAGGCCTATAGGCACCTTCGCTGGTACGAGTTACCTATTGGTCACCATTATAGCAATTCTTGTGTTTATAAGTTGCTTTCATCTTTTTACATGTACCAGTTGTGCTCGGCTAGCTCATGAGGGCCCTATTCATTGCCACTTGTATGGCCTTTCTACGCTTGGTTGGCAAACTGCATCTTTTGCCAACCAGGGGTTGCAAAACTATGGAAGGTCCAAAACTGCAAAAATGAAGAAGACTTATACAGATAACCAAAATATTATTTGATACTTGGAAATACAACATCGTCAACAAACCTGCAACATAATTTCTACACATGCCTTTTGAGCAGTGGCGTCGCCAAAGGGGGGGGGGGGGGGGGGGGGGGGCAGGGGGGGGGGGGCCAGGGGGGGGGGGGCACGTGCCCCCCCCCCCTGGAAAACCTAGTGCCCCCCCGAGTGCCCCCCCATCTGAGATTTGGGTTGGTAAAAAAATATATATATATTTTGTTATATTCAACTCCCATCATCTGAGTTGGTTAAATAGCAATTTCTGGAGATATCTTCAGATCGAATTTAGCATCAAATGTGGCACCATTTTGCATCTAGCCCATCCTCCGTATGCGAAAATTTTCACCCCCTCCCCTTAGACCCCTCCCCCAGGACGGCGATCCGTATCCACCTAAGTGCCCCCCCCCCAATCAAATGCTGGTGCCCCCCCCCCCCTGTGCCCCCCCAGACTGAAAAGTCTGGTGACGCCACTGCTTTTGAGTATACATTAAAGGCGTTATGAGGACGTTTTTTCTGGAAAAACAATGGAAAAATAGATGCCAACCCCGGCTTCAACTTATGCGCTTGCGGCAGTTCATATTAAATGGCGTCAATGTTTACAAACAAAAGAAAGGCCAATTAACCTCGGTGAAGGGCAAAAACACTAATATTGATTCACATTAAATTTCCAAAGTAAAAACGAGATCTGATCAGAATACCACTTTTAAGTGAACTCTCCATAAACATTCAGGCATATCTTTTTAAATAAAAAGTTGTATTTTGTTTCCAAATAGTGAAGTGAGCACAATATTTTACACCAGTGATACGATACAACGAGCTAGAAGCAGTGCATTTATCTCGCCAGTCAACCAGTGCAGCCTTGCTAGTGGTTAAAAAAAAACACGAGACAACAAACTGGTCATTCATGATGCTGAAAAGGTTTAAAGTAAAACTAAAAAGGATGAGATACCTGTTCAGGTGGAAAATGGAAAGTGGAAGGTAAAATGAAATTCTCTTGCTGTGGTAATTTTTGTGTGAAGGATGAAAAATTACTACTTTAAATAATTGGCATCTTCTCCGCAACCTTAAGTGCTATTTGTCATGATTTTTAAGTATTTGAAAAAAAAAGCTCTCAGGTTTATTCTGATACCCAAACATCAAAATCTACCGATCTTTTTTTTTAAGCCAAATGTTTTAGGGTTGCAGTTTTTTGGGGTCACTCTGTATATCTATCTTTTATTCGATCATATTTCGTTCGCGAAAGTATGCCTCTACATATACACAATGTGATAAAGTAAAGTGGCTTATATTGTCCCCATTTTCATAGCTATTTTAAAGAACTTCCGGGATTTGTTTTCTATATCAAGTCTTATCACTTTAGTTATTTGTCGTCTCTACAAACATCCTACATGTATATAAAAAAAAAATTCAACAACCTTAACATATTAATATTCACTCAATGAAAACATGTTAATCAATTCTACTTTAGAGCCTAGCTGGAGTTACCCAGCCCTGAGTTTTATCATTGGGTTGTCTATTAGGGCTGGAGCGCATTTTTCTCAAAACTTGTAGTATTTGCAATAAAAATTTGGAAAATGTTCAATTTTGTCCCCGTTACACACTAATTGCAACTGCAACTCACCCCAAACTTGCCTGGAATAACCATTACACAGGTCCTTGAAGTAAAAAACGATCCACGATGAAGATTCAGCCTACAATTGCAGTGAAAACAGGAGGAATAACCGCTAACTTGACAACCTTGCTGGATTGGCCAGGACCGCTATTGGTTTGTGCACAAAAAAAATTGTGTACAATGAATGGCGGTCGATTAACAGGCACAGAGAGCGATCGCTGTCAACTACTCGTTTTGCCGGCTGCGCTGGCTGTTGGCGCATGACGTCACGCGGAAGCGTAACACCCGATGACTGTTTCATGCACTAGTATAAGGTTTACCAC